CCATCGTGGAGTCTCTTCGACTGACCTGAAAACCAGGAATAAAGCCAAGAATCAAAGACTCTGAAAGAAAGACAAGGGGAAAGAGAAAAAAATCAATAAAATGAAGATCACTCAGTTGCTGAAGAAACAAGACTCACTTTTATGGTTCCATCAGCCATCTCTTCTTTCACATCTTCTTCCTCAGCATCTGCGTCAGAGGCGGCAAGCACTTGTTGCAGAAGTTGTAATTGAGCCTCCTTAACAAGACAGTTTGAAAAAGCGGAGTAGGATCACTTTGTTAGCGCTGCTCATCACAACAGGACGCGCCACGCATGTCATCTAGGCAACAATAATGGCGCTGTGAAGGTCTTTCCCGAATAGTTTTCAATAGTCAGCATCGTTTAGTTCAAAACCGTCAATTAAGTTTTGGGTGTTTAGCCTTTTGTTCTGCAGATGTAGCCTGACCTGAAGGCTCCCGGTAGTACGACTCGTTACCCATACAAGAAAAATCTTATTGAAAAGAATTGTGACGAACAAAAACTAACTAAAAACTGTCTGAAAACTAGTAACGAACCTTCGTTCCGAGTTTGAGATCCTCTTTTTCCATACCGGGTAATCTATTGACAACCTTGTACGCATAACCTTGATTCACCAAGAACCTAAACATCGCCTTATCATGGATGCCAAATCGAGGAACTTCCACATTCCCTACATTACAGTTCCAAGATAAATTTAGCTATTGTTTTCAATTTACCAAAAAAAAATCGCACACTGACTGAGTTTACTCTACCTTTGTCTCTTCCGAGAGTAACCCATTTCGACGGTATCCTGAGAAACAAGTGAATAGAAAAACGCATTGAACTGATCTGTGGAATGCTTTTTGGCACGAAGAATGCGACCCAATCGTTGTGCTTCCTGAAATAATTTTCATATTCAGAAAATTGCAAAACCTTCACGTCTACAACTTATTTTTGTGGTAGGAATGAGACTACTATTGAAGCCGGCAGGCAGAAGTCAAAATATTATGAAACTAAAGAATGAAGAAAAATTTGTAAAGCTTGAATTTTTCACCAACCTGTCTTCGAGAACCACCGTGTGCCGAGACTTGAATCAGAACGTTAGCCTCTGGTAAATCGAAAGACGTGTCAGCCACCTGAATGCAGGAACCCAACGATCAGAGGGAATCTTTAGACAGCATGAAAGTGAGTAACCACCCATGGCCAGTGCCATTGAGGGGACCCAGCTGGCAACCAACCTTAGATACAAAAATTGTGTTCACTCGTGGATTGTATTGAAAGTTCTGTAAAATTTTCATTCGTTCATTCTGACTGGTCTCTCCGTAAAGGAACGGCTTGTTCATCTCTATGGCATATTTCTTCAACGCGAACACGTTGTCCGAGAATACGATTATCTGAACATATTTCGTTGAGGAAGAATCACACTGAACAGAGCTCTGCACGTTTAACCCTTAGCACCTATATGCCAGCAGAGAAAGTTCTGCGCCTCAAACTATTCCCTAAAAATTGTCACTGTGACTGTTCCTTTCCCTTAAAAGCACAGTCGACACTAATCACGTGGGTGGACATCATTGTGACCCATCACTGGCATGCCGATTAGTGGAAGGGCGTACCAGTGATCGCGTGGGCGGAGACAGCAGTCAGCTGTCTCCGCCCACGCGATCAGCGTCGACTGGACCATAAATGGGTCCACTTCATCAGAACATACTTGTTTTCAAAAAAGCCCCTTTGGTGTTACTAAAGCAACATTAACAGACAGAAACATAACGTAACACTTCGTTCTACGATGACCCC